AAGCATGGGATTGGAAGTTTCTTTCATTCAGGTTTTCCTAATGCACCAGGTTCTAAAAGTAGCTACTAGGAGACATCTATATCGAGCATCTTGGCATTTAGTGGTTATTGTGTCAGCCATCAACTTGCTTCTTTTTGTATAGGAAAATATAAAGCAAGGAAGTCTGTGTCAAATGCTAACCATGACTCCTGTTTTTCCCCCAGGAAAATATGTTGTGTTCTTCTTTTATCCTCTTGACTTCACCTTTGTGTGCCCTACGGAGATCATCGCTTTCAGTGATAGGGCAGAAGAATTTAAGAAACTCAACTGCCAAGTGATTGGTGCTTCTGTGGATTCTCACTTCTGTCATCTAGCATGGTAAATCTCTTGGTTCATTTGGCATGTGAACTTTTTTTTTATTTTTTGAGATGGAGTCTCGCTCTGTCGCCCAGGCTAGAGGGAGTGGTGTGATCTTGGCTCACTGCAAGCTCCGCCTCCTGGGTTCACGCCATTCTCCTGCCTCAGCCTCCAGAGTAGCTGGGACTACGGGTGCCCACCACCAGCCCGGCTAATTTTTTGTATTTTTAGTAGAGATGGGGTTTCACCGTGTTAGCCAGGATGGTCTCGATCTCCTGACCTCATGATCTGCCCGCCTTGGCCTCCCAAAGTGTTGGGATTACAGGCGTGAGCCACCACACCTGGCCGCATGTGAACTTTTAAAACAGCAACTGGGAAGCTTTGGCAATAGACTTTCAAGTATTGGCCTCTCATGGATTTTTTTTTTTTTTTTTTTGGAGACGAAGTCTTGCTGTGTTGCCCAGGCTGGAGTACAGTGGCCGGATCTCAGCTCACTGCAAGCTCCGCCTCCCGGGTTCAGGCCATTCTCCTGCCTCAGCCTCCCGAGTAGCTGGGACTACAGGCACCCGCCGCCTCACCCGGCTAGTTTTTTGTATTTAGTAGAAACGGGGTTTCACCGTTTTAGCCAGGATGGTCTCGATCTCCTGACCTCGTGATCCGCCTGTCTCGGCCTCCCAAAGTGCTGGGATTACAGGCTAGAGTCACCGCGCCTGGCCAAGTATTGGCTTCTCATGGAAGAAGTGCAAAGTCTGATTTTCTCTTACTGCTCATGACCTGGCAGCAGAGAAGCAGCAGCTTCAGTTGCAGTTGAGTGTACCCTAGTAACCTACCTTAACTGTTCTCAGCATTCACTTTATTGCTGGAAAAGGAAAAAAACAGTTTTTTTGGAAAGTTAGATTAGGAATATGGGAAAGGGGGAAAGAGGAATAGGTACAGTTAAGTCAAGAGTTTGAATGTAACTGTGTTTGCCTTTTGCCGTAGGATCAACACACCTAAGAAACAAGGAGGACTGGGACCCATGAACATTCCTTTGGTATCAGACCCGAAGCGCACCATTGCTCAGGATTATGGGGTCTTAAAGGCTGATGAAGGCATTTCATTCAGGTATGTCATCAGGACAAGTACCCAGTTGGCTGAAAGCCTTTTATTTGGAGAAATCTAGAGCCCTGATCTGTAGAGACGCCTTCATCATTTCATTCCTTTATGCAGGGGCCTTCTCACTAAGGCCAGGCCAGTATGAATGTGGAGACCAGTCCATTTCCTTAAGACTTCAAGCTTCTGTATTCTAACAAAGCACATCTTTAAACCTGTATTGCTTTTCCTTTCATCTCTTTTCCCAGGGGCCTCTTTATCATTGATGATAAGGGTATTCTTCGGCAGATCACTGTAAATGACCTCCCTGTCGGACGCTCTGTGGATGAGACTTTGAGACTAGTTCAGGCCTTCCAGTTCACTGACAAACATGGGGAAGGTAAGCCATCTGTCTGATAAAAGGATAACAGAGTGGTGGTAGAATGGGAAAGATAGTAGGAACAGAAGCTACCAAATAAGAAAAGGGGTATTTCTCTTCAAGATATTGAAGCCCCTGGATTACAGTGTGTGAGGGTGAGGGTAATGGAAAAGCTTGGGAAGGAGAATATAAAGACTTTTTATTCGAAGTGTACATACTCCTCTCTTCTGCCCTGCTCATTTAGAATCAGTCAGTCCTAAAGATCTAACTTAATGTAGGATGATCTCACAGATGTATTAGGGCAAAACAAAATGGTTGGGAATCACATCTAGAGATGAAGCATGCCATTTTAAAAATAACTTTGTTGAGAGAAGAGGTTAATCCATATAGTTCATATTTGTATTTATTTATTTATTTTTTGCAAGACAGAGTCTTGCTCTGTTGCCCAGGCTAGAGTGCAGTGGTGCAGTCTTGGCTCACTGTGACCTCCACCTCCCATGAGCCATCGCGCCCAGCCCAGACTAGCTTTCTAAGGCCCATTTTAGCTCTGATCTTGTGATTTAAAGAAAATGAAGTTACTAGAGTCTGGATTAGTGGTGTGTGTATGGGAAGACCCAAAGGTGCTAGTTTGGCTAGCACCAAGTAATCTTTTTACAGGGATTACTTTCTAATCCCTGTAAGAGTCTGATTATATAGGGATCAGTGAGCACTGATAACCAGGAGGTACCCTTTTCAGAAGGATGTGTGGGCAATTAGCCTGGACAGGTAACACATGGCTCAGCTGACACCTGCTGAGACTGCCCCCTTGTGGGAGATGAGGTTCAGCATTAAGAAGGAGCCGGCAGTGGCAAAGTAGGCCCTTTAACTGGACTTTCCTGGGAACCTACATATAGGTTAGTCTCCCGAACACAAGCTTTCATGACTGAGAAGCTTGCTTCTTCAGACTCTATTGGTCTCTTCTGCTTCCCATCCCACTGGAACATGTACAGCTTCTTAAATAGGCACCATTTAAGAGCCTATGAATGCCAAACACTGTGTGTATATATATATATATTTTTTTTTTGAGACAGAATCTTGTTTTGTTGCCCAAACTGGAGTGCAGTGGTGTGATCTCGGCTTACTGCAGCTACCACCTCCTGGGTTCAAGCAATTCTCTAGCATCAGCTTCCTGAGTAGCTAGGACTACAGGGGCCCACCACCATGCCCCACTAATTTTTGTATGTTTTGTAGAGATGTGATTTTGCCATGTTGGCCAGGCTGGTCTCAGAACTCCTGAGCTCAAGCTCAAGCAGTCCTCCGCCTTGGCCTCCCAAAGCGCTGGGATTATAGGCGTGAACCACTGTGCCCGGCTGCCAAACACTTGTTTTTTTGAGATGGAGTCTCGCACTGTCATCCGGGCTAGAGTGCAGTGTTATGATCTCAGCTCACTGCAACCTCTGTCTCAAGCAATTGTCCTGCCTCAGCCTCCCGAGTACCTGGGATTATAGACGCTCACCACCACGCCCAGCTAATTTTTTATATTTTTAGTAGAGACGGGGTTTCATTATGTTGGCCAGGCTGGTATTTATTTGCTTTTATGCTGTTCTTTCCAACTTGTTTATCTTTAGGACCTGTATTGTAACCCCTTGATATCACTAAAGCCAATAACTAACAATCAGATGGAGATTTTAGGAAAATAATGGCAGCTGGTCCTTCTATTTAGCTCTTGTTCCATCTGTACCTTATGCCTAGAGAGCTGTTTGTAGAGTCTTGATATCTGAGGTTATGATATCCTTGGACCAAAGAGGGGCCTCCCTATGTCTCACTTGAGCAATTGAGACTCTTGCTGCTCCTGCTGGACTTTGATTACATGTCTCGTAGAATATGACAGCACATGGTAGTGGAAAAATCAGGCCAGGTGCGGTGGCTCACGCCTGTAATCCTAGCACTTTGGGAGGCTGAGGCAGGCAGATCACCTGAGGTCAGGAGTTTGAGATCAGCCTGGCCAACATCGTGAAACCCCATCTCTACTAAAAATACAAAAATTAGCCGGGTGTGGTGGCGGGCGCCTGTAATCCCAGCTACTTGGGAGGCTGATGCAGGAGAATCGCTTGAACCTGGGAGACCAAGGTTGCAGAGAGAGGTGGGGATCACGCCACTGCACTCCAGCCTGGGCAACACAGCGAGACTCCATCTCAAAAAAAGAAAAAGAAAAATCAGAGATTAGTCCCCTTGCCTCACTTTCTTCAGGCTAGCCTGAGACACATTCTTAGGCATTGTCAGGAAAAGGTTGAAGGCTGTGCTTTCTGTATACATTCATGAAAAATCTCAAACTTTGCTTTTTGCTTACCGAGGGGTAGATGGCAGTTACTTAATGAAACAAGCAGGCGCTTCTATTAAGTTCTTGATCCTTTATAAGGTTCAGGCTTTCCAGTTTGGTAGAGTTATAAGAATGCTGAGAAGGCAGACTGAGGTTGCTGCCTTCAGAGTTCTGAAGGGCTGTCAGAGGGAAACAGTTTAGTGTTAAGGGTTTACATAGTTCTATGTGTATCATTTATTTAGCTTTTTTTTTTTCCCCTTAAGGACTGGAGAGTGTTGGCAAATCATTTAAACTTGCCTTTTTTGTGGAAAATTTAAATTTTAAGTGCTACATGAATAAATTAGGCATAATAGTATCTTAAGGCTGTGGTGATGATTATATAATGTTTGTAAAATAGTTAGGTTACACTAAAAGGCTGAATGATCTTAGACCGATTGCAGGGGTAGGTTTCCTGGTATCTGAGTGTTCAGGCTCTTTAGGGTGCAGAACTGGTTTTGTCCATAGGAGAATGGTGGTGCATACCATTGAGAAGGTTATTAATTAGTGGTACCTTTCTTTTGCAGTGTGCCCTGCTGGCTGGAAACCTGGCAGTGATACCATCAAGCCTGATGTCCAAAAGAGCAAAGAATATTTCTCCAAGCAGAAGTGAGCGCTGGGCTGTTTTAGTGCCAGGCTGCAGTGGGCAGCCATGAGAACAAAACCTCTTCTGTATTTTTTTTCTTTTCCCCATGAGTAAAACACAAGACTTCAGATTCAGCCGAATTGTGGTCTGTTACAAGGCAGGCCTTTCCTGCATGGGGTGGAGAGACCAGCCTTTCTTCCTTTGGTAGGAATGGCCTGAGTTGGTGTTGTGGGCAGGCCACTGGTTTGTATGATGTATCAGTAGAGCAACCCATTAATATTTTGTAGTTTGTATTAAACCTGAACTGATACCTTGATGAGTCTTTATTTTAGGAGGTATATTACTAGCTTTTGATTTTAAGAGGAATTTACTCTGCTTTCCCTGTTTAGGGGAAAATGAGAGCTGCCTCCAAATCGGGATTATATTGACACAGGTAGACACAGGGAATGGAACTGAATGAACCCAAGGTGTTAACATTTTGTTTCACTACACATGAGGGAGAAGAATAAGCCCTGCTATAGTGTTGACTGGAGCATGGCGACTTATGCCACAGGCTGGGTTGCCAGTTAGTCTCGGTGTGACTACTTGGACACCTATTTTTACTTGGACACACTATTCAAAGGGCTGCATGGGAACCAGAAACTTGGCCTCTTCTGATAAATGCCTGGTACCTGCTATGTAAGAGAGTTGGAGGTTTCTGTTTCTTTTGAACTGGCAGAAAGAGGAAGACAAAGGGCTGGTGGCCTTGGGTAGGGCTTTCAGTAGTTGTACAGTACTGGGCAATTCTTAGCCTTCCCTGGGTTCTAGCCTTGATTAGAGATAGTCTTTTTTAGTGTCACTATGTTGCCCAGACTGGTTCTGAACTCCTCGCCTCAAGTGGTCCTCCGCCTCAGCCTCCCAAAATGGTGGGATTAGAGGTGAGAGCCACAGTGCCTGGCCAGAGCTCGTTTTGATCCTCATTCATATGTCATTGTCCTTAGAGAGGTTGTCAGCTGGGAAAACTTATTCTGGGCCCTTGAGGCCAGGGTAGATTGAGAACTGAGGATACTTCTGTGTGTCATGTGATACCATTCCAGCCACTTGTCTTCCTCAGCTACTCCAACCTGCCCAGCCCTCTAGAACCCAGACTATACCCATGAGCAGCAGTACAGAATTCCCAGGGCCTTTGGTAACAGCCAACATACAGTTTACTGTATGTCAGGTACTTTCCAAAGTGCTGTACACGTGTTTATTCAGTTCCTACGTGAGGTAGGTACTTTTTTCTTTTTTTGAGAGAGTCTCACACGTCGCCCAGGCTAGAGTGCAGCTGTGCAATCTCGGCTCACTGCAACCTTTGCCTCCCTGGTTCAAATGATTCTCCTTAGGCCTGCGCCACCATCCCCGGCTAACTGTATTTTTAGTAGAGACGGGGTTTCACCATATTGGCCAGGCTGGTCTCAAACTGACCTCATAATTCACCTGCCTCAGCCTCTCAAAGTGCTGGGATTACAGGCGTGAGCCACCATGTCCTGTAATGACATTGGGGGCACTGCTTAGAAATGGGAACAGATTAAGAGTCTTCGCTGAGCGCCAAAAAATTAGCCAGGTGTGGTGGCAGGCAGCTGCTGTTCCAGCTACTCGGGAGGCTGAGGCAGAGAACTGCTTGAACCCAGGAATCGGAGGTTGCAGTGAGCGGAGATTGCGCCACTGCACTCCAGCCTAGGTGACAAGAGTGAGACTGTCTTTTAAAAAAAAAAAAAAATTGCATTTGAAGGCAGATGGGAATTCTGGTTTCCTGGCCTTTATCTTGGCCAAACTTAACTTCCTTGAGCCTTGTTACCTTCATGGAAGATCTCTACGGTATTATTAAAAATAGTAATCTTGTACTCAGAACCTTTTCCTTTGCCAAAGCCAATTAAATCCTAGCAAGTACCTCCATAAATCAGGGTCTACATGGGAGAAAGGTATCAAGGGCCAGGGGATGCAGGTGGTGAGACCCTGGGGCTGAGCCAGCTCCGGGCTCTGCTGGGATTCCCAGGCTTCTTGGGGGTGTGTGTGGTAAAAGGAAAGTCTGGGGAGGGAGAACTAGGCTTCTCTGAGGGCTGAACCAAGCCCAGCAGGGCCAATCGTTGGGCAGGCGGAGTGGAGAAGTACGCCTTCTGCTCTTCTGAGTAGCGCTCCTGGGGTGTCACAGCATCCCGGTAAGTCCAGTCTCTCCAGTGGAAATTGAAGCCTTCGAGTAGGGCGATACGGGCAGCTCTTGTAGGTACACAGTCATGAGGTTTTCTGGGTGGCAGATCTGGCACCTCTATCCCTGGCAGCAGCACTACCCCTCGGATGGCAAACCAGCCCCCAAATCGGGGGTGTATGCACACACCTGATATGTGCTGGGGAGAGAGTGAAGAAAAGCAAGTTCACGGAGGTCCCCTTGGCACCAAGTCCAACTGCCATCATTGCAAGCTAGGCCTGTTCATTTATTTCCCACTCAGTGTACGCTGACTACATAAACTGTCCCTTTCTTGGCAAACCCTTTCATAAACTATTCTGAGCACAAGGAAGGGCTTGGGCTTACCCAGTCTCACCACTATTCTGAACACTGCTGTGCCCCCTCTATCCTAAGATGGTTCTGCAGACGAGGTTTTCTGATCTCACAAGTCCCCAGTCAGACAATCACATGTGACAGGACTGCTCCCCTGCCCAGGACAAAGCTTATTTGTTTTGGGTTGTGTCAAACAAATCCATCCAGGGAAGGCTGAGGAATGTGGGACCTGGTAGGGAGAGGCCTTTACCAGTCTGTCTCAGTCTCTATTTACATTTTCCCTCTCACCTGGTTCCCCCATGGGTCAGCCTCCACATCTTGTCGTTGGTAGTAGTAAGCAGCCCCTGCCACATGGGCTGCTGTCTGGGCCAGGATCTTGGGGCGTCGGTTGGGGTGCACTTCGTAGTCAGCAATGACTTCTATCTGCAGCTCTGGGAGGCTCTGGAACCGTGGACAAGATAGAGGGTACTGTCAGCATGAGGGGAGTTATGACTTTATCCTAGGGAGCCCTAGTTTGTTTGTGAACATGGTCCTGTCCTCAGAAAGGAAAACATGACCTTAACTTGGGAGGCTCCAGTGTGGACATAGTTATAGTTATTTCCAGAAGTGCCCATGTTTGAAGGGAAATACACAAGTCCTGGTGTGGAGGAAGGCATGGCCAGCTTTGGGAAGATCCAGTGGGTGTGTACATAGTTATGTGTATATGTGTGTGTGTTGGGAGAATATTGTTCTGTCCTCAAAAGGACAGCATAAAGCTTGCAGGTCTAGGGCAAAGCAACACCTGGGGAATGTTGAACTCATTCCTATTCCACTTGGAGGCCAAGGAAAACCTGGTCTGAGGTTCATGTAGTTGCCCATCAGTGTAGGGTGACAGAGACTGATTACACACTGGGGTACTGGTAGAGGAGGGTGGTGGAACTTGGGTGTGTGAGAAGGCAGAATGAGGAAAGATCACAGAATGTCAAGCCTGACTTTAGGACATCATTTCACCTTTGAAGTGGCTCCTAGCCCTAGGTCTAGATCCTGCATTGAGCCTGGAGGAACTGGAGGCAGCTGTGGCTTTGGGAGGTGGGGGAAAACAGCCTTCCTCACCTCTCTAACACGGCCCAGATGGTAGGCCACACACTGGTCCACTGGGTCGGTCAGCATTCGGAGGTGGCAGCTCTGCAAGAAGGGCTTGAGGGCCTGGTCAAACATGGCAGGTGTGCTGAGTACCAGGAAGGCCAGGGTAGGTCCTGGCAGCAGTAGGTGGAAGGCTGGAGGCAAGAGTTCATTGTACCATGCCACCTGAAACAGAAAGTTCAGGCCAGGCTGGAGAGGGCCAGTCTAGGCCTTAGCCTGGCCCACACCTTAACTTTCAGGCCTCCCACTTTTGCCCCAGCCTCCAGGTCACTCATTCAGTTAATTTTCACTGATGCTATGTGATTTATTTTTACCAGCAACTCAACTGAATTTGACAGGGAATTAATTATTTTTTGAGACAGAGTCTTGCTCTGTCACCCAGGATGGAGTACAGTGGTGTGATCTTGGCCCACTGCAACTTCGGCCTCTCAGATTTCAAGTGATTCTCGTGCCTCAGCCTCCCGAGCAGCTGGGATTACAGATGTGCACCACCACGCCTGGCTATTTTTTGTATTTTTAGTAAAGACGGCGTTTCGCCATGTTGGCCAGGTTGGTCTCGAACTCTTGGCCTCACTAGGACCCACCTGCCTCAGCCTTCCAAAGTGCTGGGATTATATAGGCGTGAGCCACCGAGCGTGGCCCAGGGAATTATTTATTTATTTATTGAAGGACTGACTGATAACAAGTAATTCAGGCCTCATCCAACTACAAATGAACCAATGAAAATGAAAAACCCCGCTGGGCGTGGTGGCTCACAGCTATAATCCCAGCACTTTGGGAGGCTGAGGCAGGTGGATCACCTGAGGTCTGGAGACCAGCCTGGCCAACATGGTGAAACCCTGCCTCTACTAGAAATACAAAAATTAGACAAGCATGGTGGCGCTCGCCTGTAATCCCAGCTACTCAGGAGGCTGAGGCAGGAGAATCGCTTGAACCTGGGAGGCAGAGGTTGCAGTGAGACAAGATCGTGCCACTGCACTCCAGCCTGGGTGATAGAGTGAGACCTCGCCTCAAATAATAATAAAAGAAAATGAAAACCCAGGAATGAGGCCCCACAGAGCAGAGTTCCTAAATCCACAACTGACTGAGGTGCGTGAGGGCACAGGAACAGTCAAAGTGGCTGTCAATGCACTTGTCCTCCAAGTTCAACACCTTGAAGGTATTCTAAGACAAAAGCAAGATTGGAGATTTCTCAAAGCAGAATCAACATATGATGCTATAACAGTTGTTCAGAAAAATATTGTTAATCTGGAGAAGCATGTTGCTGCAGCCAAGCCTGAGAGGGAGAAAACCACCTGAACCCTCAACGCTGTTCATGCCACAGCCCAACTCATCCTCAAATGACACAAAACGATGTGGCTCCACCAGTCTCTTCCCAACCAGCACTTCTTTACCCTTTTGATATGTCGCCAGGGGAAACTATCAGCAGCAGCAAGCTACGTCTCCGCTGAAGATCAAGGGGTTATAATAGATGAAAACTTCACTATGTCCAGAGCATCGCCATACAGACAGATCAAAGACAACACCATAGTTCCAGGCTATGTAACCCTAACTCTAGAGATGAATTTGGAGAGAACAGGCAGTTTCTTTCTTTTTTTTTTTTTTTTTTTTTTGAGACAGAGTCTCGCTCTGTTGCCCAGGCTGGAGTGCAGGGGCGTGATCTTGGCTCCCTGCAACCTCCGCCTCCCGGGTTCAAGTGATTCTCCTGCCTCAGTCTCCAGAGTAGCTGGGACTACAAGTGTGTGCCACCATGCCCAGCTAATTTTTGTATTTTTTTTTTTTTTTTTGAGACGGAGTCTCGCTCTGTGCCCCAGGCTGGAGTGCAGTGGCGCAATTTCGGCTCACTGAAATCTCCGCCTCCCAGGTTCACGCCATTCTCCTGCCTCAGCCTCCCAAGTAGCTGGGACTCAGGCGCCCGCCACCGCGCCCAGCTAATTTTTTGTATTTTTAGTAGAGACGGGGTTTCACCGTGTTAGCCAGGATGGTCTCGATCTCCTGACCTTGTGATCCGCCCGCCTCGGCCTCCCAAAGTGCTGGGATTACAGGCGTGAGCCACCGCGCCTGGCCTAATTTTTGTATTTTTAAGAGAGACGGGGGTTTCACCATGCTGGCCAGGATGGTCTCGATCTCCTGACCTCATGATCCACCTGCCTTGGCCTCCCAAAGTGCTGGGATTACAGGCATGAGCCACCGCGCCCAGCCCAGGCAGTTTCTTAAAATAGTGTTTTTAGGCTGGGCATGGTGGCTTACAGCTGCAATCCCAGCACTTTGGGAGGCTGAGGCAGGAGGACTGCTTGGGGCCAAGAGTTTGAGACCAGCCTGGGCAACAGAGCAAGAACTTGTCTTTATTTTTTTATTTTAATTAATTAATTTTTTTTTAGATGGAGTCTCACTCTGTTGCCAGGCTGGAGTGCAGTGGTGCAGCCTCGGCTCATTGCAACCTCCACCTCCCAGGATTCAAGTGATTCTCTGGTCTCAGCCTCCCGAGTTGCTGGGACTATAGGCCTGCGCCACTATGCCCAGCTAATTTTTGTATTTTTTAGTAGAGATGGGGTTTCACCATGTTGGCCAGGATGGTCTCGATCGCTTGATCTCATGATCCACCTGCATCGGCCTCCCAAAGTGCTGGGATTATAGGCGTGAGTCACCGCGCCTGGCGAGAACCTGTCTTTAAAAACAAAGCCCCCCCACCCTTTTAAAAAAATGTATACAGTCTCACTGTCACCCACTGTCACTGCTAGGGTGCAGTGGCATGATGTTGGCTCACTGCAACCTCTGCCTCCTGGGTTCAAGTGATTCTTGTGCCTCAGCCTCCCAAGTAGCTGGGATTATGGGCGTGTGCTACCAGGCCTAGCTAATTTTTTGTACTTTTAGTAGAGACAGGGCTTCGCCATGTTGGCCAGGCTGGTCTCGAACTCCTGGCCTCAGCTGATCTGCCTACCTTGGCCTCCCAAAGTGCTAGGATTACATGCGTGAGCTTCCACGCCAGGCCAAAAAAAACATTTTTATCAGTTGATGAACTGACGCTACCAAAGAGGCTAGAAACATACTTAACCTCTGACTTGAGCCCATCAGGGGTTTTCCTGCTTTTTTTTTTTTTTTTTTTGAGACAGTCTTGCCCTGTCACCTAGGCTAGAGTGCAGTGAGGTGATCACAGCTCACTGCAGCCTCAACCTCCCTCCCTCAGGCAATCATCCCACCTCAGCCTCCCGAGTGGCTGGGACCACAGGTGTGAACCACCACACCTGGCTGGCTAATTAAAACAAAAAAATAATTTGTTGTAGAGACAGGGTCTCCCTATGTTGCCCAGGATGGGATTTTCCTGCTTTTGACAGACTTTCTTGTTACCATGCTCAACACCCCTAACAGGAATCTTGTATTTGTTTTTTTTTTTTTTTGAGATGGAATTCTGCTTTTGTTCCCCAGGCTGGAGTTTGTGGCGCAATCTTGGCTCACTGCAACCTCCGCCTCCTGGGTTCAAGATATGTCTGATCCAGTTTTGTTTTGTTTTTGAGATAGTCTTTCTCTGTTGCCCAGGCTGGAGTGCAGTGGTGCCATTTCAGCTCACTGAAACCTCCACCTCCTAGGTTCAAGCGATTCTCCTGCCTCAGCCTCCCGAGTAGCTGGGATTACAGGTGTCTGCCAGCATGCCTGGCTCATTTTCTGTATTTTTAGTTGAGACGGGGTTTCGTCATGTTGGTGAGGCTGGTCTTGAACTCCTGACCTCAGATGGTCCACCCGCCTCCGCCTCCCTAAAGTGCTGGGATTACAGGCATGAGCCACCGTGCCTGGCCAGCAAGCTTATGTTTTTGAGGTTGACCAATCAGCAAAGCAAATATGTGATTAATGCAAACTTTATTTTCAGTTTTAGGACACACAATATTTGCTTTTGTCCACTTGGCCTGGACATCCAAGAAATTGGACTCACCTGTAACACACTGTCTACACCCACATTCACACACTGAACATGGAGAAGAACTGTCACAAGAAGCCTGAACTAAAGACCTGTAACATAACCTGCAATGAACTTGCTAAATCACATAGTTGTGGAGGTTGCTGCTGTTCACACGAAGTGCTATGGATATACCTGCATCACTTACTGGGGATTTCTGACTCATAGTGCAGAATACTTGACACAGGTCTACACAGGCTACCTGGGGTTGTGCATTACTGGGACAGAGTGGGATGACCATTACTCGTTTGATTGTAGCTGGTTTTACTGCTGTAACAGATAAGTGAAGTCTGTGTTGGTGCTCAACTCATAATGTGACTGTTGTGGTTAGGTCTCTTCCCCCTCATGTCTACTATAGGTTCATGTATTATATGACAAGGAACTTAGAATAGAGAGGCAGAAATCCCAGCTACTCAGGAGGCTGAGGCAGGAGAATTGCTTGAACCCGGGAGGCAGAGGTTGCAGTGAGCCGAGATGGCGCCATTGCACTCCAGCCGGGGCAACAGAGTGAGACTCCATCTCAAAAAAAAGGAAGAAAGGCAGAGAGTTATTGAGTTATTATTATTATTATTATTATTTTTGAGATGGAGTTTCGCTCATTTGCCCAGGCTGGAGTGCAATGGTGCAATCTCGGCTCACCACAACCCCCACCTCCCAGGCTCAAACAATTCTCCTGCCTCAGCCTCCTGAGAGCCGGGATTACAGGTGCACACCACCACGCCCAGCTAATTTTCTATTTTTAGTAGAGACGGGATTTCACCATGTTGGCCAGGCTAGTCTTGAACTCCTGACCTCCAGTAATTCACTCACCTTGGCTTCCCAAAGTGCTGGGATTACAGGTGAGAGCCACCACGCCTGGCCACAGAAAGTTCTAGTAGGCAGAATCAACTAAGAACAGCAGAAATGACTGTACTATAGCTAGTGCAATGACAGGGTCAGATGGGGTCCTCTGAAATTAGAAAAGGCTTCCTTGTGGCTGGGCACGGTGGCTCATGCCTGTAATCCCAGCACTTTGAGAGGCCGAGGTGGGCAGATCACCTGAGGTTGGGAGTTGAAGACCAGCCTGACCAACATGGAGAAACTCTGTCTCTACTAAAAAAAATACAAAATTAGCCGGGCGTGTTGGTGCATGTCTGTAATCCCAGCTACTCTGGAGGCTAAGGCAGGAGAATCACTTGAACCTGGGAGGCAGAAGTTGCGGTGAGCTGAGATCGCACCATTGCACTCCAGCCTGGGCAACAAGAGCAAAACTCCGTCTCAAAAAAAAAAAAAAAGAAAAGAAAAGAAAAGGCTTTCTTGGATGCTAAGTCTTGAAGGCTAGAAAATCAACTGGTCAACTGTCAGGTTGATGTGGGGAGGAGAATCTGGTGTGCATTTATTATTTATATTTCACCAAAAAAGACATAAACTCACTGGTGTGTATTTTAAAAAGAGGTCACAGACTAAGTGCGGTGACTCATGCATGTAATCCCAGTGCTTTGGGTGGCCAAAGCAGGAGGACCACTTGAGGCCAGGAGTTCAAGACCAGCCAGGGCAACAAAGTGAGACACTGAGTTTTGGTGCATGCCTGAAGTCAGTTACTTGGGAGACTGAAGTGGGAGGATCACTTGAGCCCAGGAGTTTGAGGCTGCAGTGAGCTATGATTGCACCACTGCACTCCAGCCTGGAGGACAGAGTGAGACTTTGTCTCTAAATAAATAAAGAATAAAATAAACAGAAGTCACAGCATAAGCAAACACACTGGCAGAAAATTCCTGGGCATATTTGAAAATTGTCTAGTTTGGTGTAAGTGAAGGGTCCGTAGAGGGAATCAGAGGGAGAGAAGGCTGGAGAGATCAATAGGAGTGAGATTTTGATTGGTTTTGAATACCAATTTAAAGAATATGGATTTAATTTGGTGACAGTGAAGAGCCACTGATGATTTAAGAAGTAAACTAGCATGATCAGTTTTAGATCAAACTGGCTGCAGTGTGGAGGATGGACTGGAGGTAAAATGACAGCAAGGAGGTTATTACAGTAATCCAAGTGAGAAATGGTGGCCTGAACCACAGCATAGACGGGTGGAATAGAAGGGAATGGACTTGGGAGATTCAGTAGACAGTCTTATAGGATGTGGGGGTAGAGAGGTGAGAGGTAGGAGCCTAGGGTGACTGGCAGGGCTGCAGTTGGCTTTGTTCAGTACAAAAACTCCTAATACCCAGGTCTACTCAACTTGCCAGATAGGTATTTTCACTCTTCCACATACCTGCCATCCACTGAAACAGTGTCTCAAAGAGTTAAAGGTTGATCTGCAACAAATAGCTTTTGTTTTCTCAAAAACCCAGTGTCATAATATTGGCTTCTAGCACATCAGGCATCAAGCCCTTTTACTTGGTAACACCACACCACTATCTCCACACTTTTACTCAAGCTTTTTCTGATATTTGGGATGTACATAACCCTCCTTCCTTCCAATCTATCTTTTCATATATAGCTTAATTCCATTTTTTCTGGCAAGACCAGTCTCAAGCTAGACCCAACCTACTTCTCCCTCAATATCCTCTCCCAGGTCTGCTGTGAGCCACTCGGTGGAAGGAATGGGAAGTGGGTAGTCTCTTAAGCATCAGGCAGAGGGCTCAAGCTGAGTTGATTTAGCTTTGTAACTTAACTGCTCAGTGCACAGGGCACTGATGTTGGGAAATATAACTGTGTAAATGGGGGTCGGGGTGCGGTGCTGAGATTGCTGTGCCAGGCGAGTGTACAAAGTTTCATTACCCAGTCCAGCACTGATGACTGGAAATATCATGAATTATCCTTCTGTTGGTAGAGGGAACAAACCAGCCAATTGTTTGCCTGTTCATTACCAGGAATGCTGTCCCTCTTCAGCTGACCTAAATCATAGCTACGCAAACCTTCTGGACTTTGACCTCTCCTAAATCCTTTAGGAAGTTCCAAGGTGACTCTGCCTCACAGGTCCCTTTCTTCTTGTAAATTATATAGGTGACAATCTGAGCCACACACGTTACAGGTCATATGGTGTCTCCTGTTAACCAATCCGGCATTATACTATATGGGGGTAAAAGGACAAACATGGGACAACTTTTTTTTTTTTTTTGAGATGAGTTTCGCTGGTTGCTCAGGCTGGAGTGTAATGGCGCAATCTCGGCTCCCTGCAGCCTCCGCCTCAGGGGTTCAAGCGATTTTCCTGCCTCGGCCTCCCCAGTAGCTGGGATTACAGGCATGCACCAATATGCCCGGCTAATTTTGTATTTTTAGCAGAGATGGGGTTTCACCATGTTGGCCAGACTGGTCTCGAACTCCTCACCTCAGGTGATCCGCCTGCCTCTGCTTCCCAAAGTGATGGGATTACAGGTGTGAGCCACCACGCCCGGCCTCGACCACTATCTTTTTAACCCAAGCCCCCACTGAAACCCTGTCCCTGTTGTCACATGGACACTGGGCTGCAGGCACACAGGAGGAGCAGAGGCTCCTGAGGCCTCACGCCAGTTGCAACGAAGCCAATCATATATCTCGCCCTAGAGCAGCAGGAGGGATAAACTAACCTGGAAGGGGTAAACCTCGAAGCCAAAAGGACATAGCGTGTCCTCGATCTTCTGCTTCAGCGCTGCGACTTTCGGCTCCATGGCGCACGTTACACGCTGAGCTTGCCGGGGAATGAAGTCTCAAGGACAATTGGGCCGTTACGTTTTGAGTCAACTTCGACTCCATTTCCCAGGTAGGAAACGGGTAAAATAGCGGGACAGTATTGGCTATGCGCGATGCATCTTGGGATGCGTAGTTTGTTCGATCCCTGGAGACAGCTACACGGAATCAGGAAGACTCAGTTTCCCGGCAAGCTACACGGTGGGGGTGTGCATGTACGTGTCTCTTCCAGGGAAAGGTAGTTCCGCCGCCTCCATCGCCGGTTGTGTTCGCGAGAGGCGAACTCAGTTTCCCAGGTGGCGCAGCGGCAGCCAGTCCAAAGTCGGACTTTCAAAACCAACCCGAAGTTTTGAACCCGGCGGCGGCAGTTGTCACTGGCACAGGTTTGGCGTGGTGACGCCAGTGTACTGCTTCTGGGGAGGTCTCGACCAGGTTCTGGCACCTTCAACCCCCACCTGATATCTGCGTATCATCAGGGTATCCCGCTTTCCCCCCAGTTCCCCAAGAGCGTCCTTCCTTTCCCTAGTCCCACGATCGCAGTTTTGGTCTGATAGTGCATCCCCCTACTCCAAGTTGCATCCCCACTACCCTCTTTCCATCTAACGTGGTGGCCTTTCCTGGGCTGTACCTTGGGTATCCCCCGCCGAGAGAGTAAGCACAAGACACCAGGGAGCCAGACCCCTGCCGCTCCCCTGCCACAGGATATGAGTAGGAGCCTCAGCTGGTTTGAGCAGCTGGATGTGCTTCTCAACACTACTGATGGAAATGTGGCCCGGATTAAGGTGAGGGGTTGGTGGAAGTCCCCAGTTTGCGTGGGCAGGCTAAGGGACTCTCAGAGCTCATTGACCTGTGCAACTGTTTCTTTTGTAGCAGTGGCTGTATCCTCTTGGGGTCTCCAACTCAGGTAAGTAATGTCTCTTTCTACTTCCAAGCCCTTTCTCTTTCTGTGCCTTCCTCCAGGGCCTGTATCATCCATTACTCCTTCCAAATTCCAACTCTGTCCTTTCCTTAACTCTGTTTCCCCACACAGACCCTGCACTTAACCCTTCCTTATTCCCTCAGCCGGGGACCTGGCTGGGACCTGGACTTCCTCTCATCACTTGCCTCTGCAGTCAGGAGTCCAAGCTCAACAGCCTTGGGCTTTAGAGACTCCCACAGTCCTACAAAGACTGAGCTGCGCTGAGTCCTAGAGCCCATCCTCTCTCTGGGATGAGGTTACTATTCTCTGATCCTAGCTTCAATCTCAGGCTCAGGTGAGGCTTGGAATCCTTGGTGTGTATATGTGATGTTTGTGTGAGATGAGGATATTACGGATTGGGAAAAGCTGTTATACAGTAGCTCATATGTTTTTTTCTGCCTGGGTAGGTGACTGAGGCCCTAAGGCAGGCAGTGCAGGGCCTGCTAGAAGAGCGAGAGCAGCAGAAGTACCAGCTCAGTATCTTGGAATGTATCTGGCCAGTTATTTTCTTCATACACACAGCTTCATACGTATGCACACAATTTTGCCACACACCTGTTGTGTGTGCACATGTGTCTTGTTTTGCAAGTAGAGTATCTAGGGTCTTGTGAAACTCTTAGAGAGTTTCCCTAACTTGTCCCACTACAGCATCACTAAGGTTGCTGCAGGGGGCCCCAAAGGGGAGGGCTCTTCTCCTGGAGCAATGCCTGGAGGAGCTGAGAAGGTAACTGCAGGGCCTTCGGAGCCAGGTGTGGGAGAAAGCCCAAGCCCAGATGCAAACAGGACCAGGAGAATGCAGTACTACCAATGGCCTTCCTCAGGAGCTGCAGACTGAGTAAGTGATAGGCAAAACCTTGCCTTCTTGAGGCCTTTGAACTTTTGGCATTCTGGGAGGCTGGTGGCCTTCTTACTCTGGATTTGTTGATTGACTCTAGAATAGCACTGCTGTCACTCCTACAGTGCTGTGGGAGGAGTCAGAGATTATGCAGAAGGAATTGAAGTTGCTGCAGTACCAGTTGAGTAAGTAAAAGGTTGGGGGTGAATATGTGTTTCCTTGTCCGCTTTTCTGGAAAGTCTTCTTCTTCTTCTTTTTTTTTTTTTATGAGATGGAGTCTTGCTCCGTTGCCCAGGCTCACTCTGTTGCCCAGCCTCTGTTGCAATGGCGCAATCTTGGCTCACTGCAACCTCTGCCTCCCGGGTTCAAACGATTCTTCTGCTTCAGCCTCCTGAGTAGCTGGGATTACAGGTGCCCGCCACCACGCCCGGCTACTTTTTTTCGTATTTTTAGTAGAGATGGGGTTTCACCATGTTGGTCAGGCTGGTCTCGAACTCCTGACCTCAAATGATCCGCCTGCCTCAGTCTCCCAAAGTGCTAGGATTACAGGTGTGGGCCACCGCACCCGGCCTGGAAAGTCTTCTTGCTCTCCCATTAAGTGGCCATGGCTCCAACTGCCTGAGCTACTGAGAAGTGTGGCCAAGTATTTTGTTGCACTCTTTGCCTCTCATGGTGTGAGTTTAGTCTTTTCAGTCAGCTTGGAAGCTTCCCAACGGCTGAGCCAGAATGTTTCTGTCTCAGTTTTCGGCAGCAGGCTGGTCACAGGCAGGGAGGGAAAAGGAAAGAAGTTGGGGAACAGCCCCCTTACATTCTCTCTCATCTGAGGGCCAGCGCCAGCAACTGCTGCTGAAACTGATCTGGCTAAGGGATGACAGGCTCAGTTTGGCAGTTGGAAGCTAGGACTAGGTTCAGACTTCTCCCTGCATATTTCTCTGTGGAGGACCCTTCCTTTCTCTGTCTATCCTGTTCTGCAGGGAGGCCAGGATACCCTCTCCTGCCCCTGTCTCGATTACTCTCTTCCCTGTGCTGACTCTCTCTCCAGAGCTCTTCTTCCTAACTCTTCTGCTCCCGGCCATGAGAAACTATCCTTGCCCACATGAGGGTTCCAAGTGTGCTGAAGAGGACAGTCATGGCGAGAGGTTTGGTTCCACCTGAGCCCATGATCTGGCAGATGTTGGAGCAGTTGCAAAGTGGCCAGGAAGGCAAGGGTCATACCCTGGAGGCTGCCAGGACAGAGGACCAAGATGCCTGGAGGGAACACAACCTCCTCAGGTCAGGGGGTGTGGGTGCTGTGCCAGTGGAGGGGAATTGTCTCACAGGTCAGACACTGGGGACCAAAGTTCAGCTATCCTAGATTTGGTGTGGGCTGCTGGGGGCAGTATGAGTATCTGGTTGTAGCCCATAAAGGCATTCTTTACTTGATATAGAGTCACTGAGGTACCTTTATATGTTTGGATGTTAAAGAAGGAGGAGAGATTGGCAGAGCTCAGTGGCTCACGCCTATAATCCCAGCACTTTGGGAGGCCGAGGTGGGCAGATCACCTGAGGTCAGGAGTTCAAGACCAGCCTGACTAACATGGTGAAACCCTGTGTCTACAAAAATTAGCCGGGCATGATGGCGGGTGCCTGTAATCCCAGCTACTCGGGAGGCTGAGGTGGGAGAATCGCTTGAACCCAGGAGTCGGAGGTTGCAGTGAGCCGAGATCATGCCATTGCACTCCAGCTTGGGTGACAGAGTGAGACCCCATCTCAAAAACAAAACAAAACAAAACAAAAAAAGAGGGAAGAGACCAGAGTCCTAGCCTCAGGAAAGAGGACAGTTCTGTGCCGGTAGGGCCCCCTTGACACATCATCATCATCTCTGTTTCTGGTTCTGTTCCCCTTTCCAGGACCTCCATACATGTTCTCCAATCTAAGCTGCCTCTGGCCACTACCTTCACCATGTCTGTTTCTTCATCTAGCTTTGAATTCAGTCTTCTGGACAGTAACAGTAGCTGGGAACTTTTATGGAAGCCAGGTGAGGATAAGGACAAGGATTCCCGTTTTGGGGGAGGCTAAATCTGAATGGTACCTGAATGCCAGCTGCCCAATTATTTAACACCAGGTAGAATGGAGTCTCTGCCTTTCTGTGAATTCATTGATATCTGTTGCTATTTATCCTGTCAGTCCTGTATGTCCCTCTCTATTAGAAAGGCCTAGGGCCTAGTTCTGTGCATATCACAATGCTTGCTGATGACTTGTTTTCTCTTCCCTTTTCCTTCCTCTTAGATCCCCAAAGGAGCACCCTTTCTATACTGGAGCCCAGAAGCTTTCAGCTCCATGCCCAGAGTCTTAAGCAAGAGGGCCTATTCCTTTGGGGCCCCAACATGCTCCTGAATAACCTGTAAGGACTCATTAAGAGTAGTAAGATGAAGGCTTCTTTGCCCACCCTCCCCTCCAAGGCCCTGTTTCTGGACTGCCTGCCTCTACCCTCTTGATGTAGCTATTATTTGTCCTCTCTACTGAGGCTTTTCACTGCTTGCCCATCCTTGTCGCTGGGCTGCAATAAAATGGTTTAACTCTCCCTGATGTGTTTTCTATGAGTCAGCACCCACATGGGATAGAATCAGCTGTACCTGTTCATCTTCCTGTTACTTGAAGTGCTTTCTATGACCTCTACCCCTGAAATCCAAGTTCATAGACATTTATAGCTGTATCTTTTTTTTTTTTTTTGAGACAGAGTCTTGTTCTGTTGCCCAGGCTGGAGTACAGTGGTGCCATCTCAGCTCACTGCAACCTCCGCCTCCTAGGTTTAAGCGATTCTCCTGCCTCAGCCTCCCAAGTAGCTGGGATTACAGGTGTGCGCCATCACGCCTGGCTAATTTTTGTATTCTTAGGAGAGACGGGGTTTCACCATGTTGGCCAGTCTGGTCTTGAACTTCTGACCTCAAGTGATCTGCCCGCCTTGACCTCCCAAAGTGCTGGGATTACAGTTGTGAGCCACTGTGCCCAGCCTATAGCTGTACCTTCTGAGTGCAAGCTCAGTTGAACTTGAAAAGTAATGGGAGCTCCCATTCTGGTGAGGAGAATGAGGTAGGACACTACTCTGGGGCAGTAGTGCTAGGGGGATGCAAAGGAGGATGAGATATTCTGATGGGACCTGGATCTGGACAGTAGGAGGCTACCTTTTCTCATCTCCAGCTTCTGGCAATTTTTTTTTTTTTTTTTTTTTTGAGACAAGTTCTTATTTTGTTGCCCGGGCTGGAGTGCAGTGGCATGATCTGGCTCACTGAAGCCTCTGCCCCTGGACTAAAGCAATCCTCCCACCTT